GGGTCTGAATACTTTCCGTACCCACTGTATATATATATATATATATATATATATATATATATATACATACATATATGGACACATTTATATTGCATGTTCATCAAGTCTGGGTAGTTTGGCTTGGCAGTACAGTTGTTGTTGTATTAAGGTCTCGTTCCAGCACACACAGTCGTGCTCATTGTTAACCATGAGATTAGGAAGCAGAGCAGCGGCTGAGTAATGCTGCCGTCACAAGCTTAGAGACAGTGGTCAAACAGAGGAATGAATGATAAACAGAATATGCAAGGGGTTGTAATGTAGACTTGAGCTTGTAACTCGTACAAATAGGTCAGTTGGTTTCCTGTGAGGTACAAATGTCTCACCCCTGATGTTTTGAGTGCAATACTGACCAAACAACCAAATGAATACGGTCAGGTGCAGTCTACCTGAGCAGCCATATCGATCAGCGTATTGATGGGTATAGCACATCCTTCTGGAGTCTTCAAAAAATCCACCAGGCTACCTACAATTAGAGATAACACGACATTTTAACACACAGCAAAACAAGATATCAGAATTTAATAACTATGCACTTTAAACCATAAAATGTCAAATATATTCAAAGAAAAACTGGCTAGAAACTCAAGTGAGACTGGCCAGGGCATTTTCAGCTCCCAGCATGCACAGCAATGGACTGAATGGAAATGGATATATTGAATGGAAATTTATTTATTTATGGATCTGTCTTGTCTTCAGCAGCCTTTTTTAAACATTCTTCAACCACAACTGAATGTTACCGGAAGCGCGCTCTCTCCATCAGTCATTTTAGTTCAAAGGCAAAAGGAAACAGCAGATAGATGAATGCTGTTGTTTTGGCGCTTAAAACATTCTGTATGTTCTTCTCTGAGTTGACGAGAAACGCAAAAAACAGCATTCAGATTAGATCCAAGAACTAGAACATAACAACTTCAGGAAATTCGCGCAGCCAGTTTGGATTAGTCACTGAGACGTTTGGTGTTAAAGGCCAAAGTTGTTGTGTTTGAGACGACGAGCTGGATATATTGAATGGAAATTTATTTATTTATCGATCTGTCTTGTCTTCAGCAGAATTTTTTAAACATTCTTCAACCACAACTGAATGTTACCGGAAGCGCGCTCTCTCCATCAGTCATTTTAGTTCAAAGGCAAAAGGAAACAGCAGATATATGAATGCTGTTGTTTTGGCGCTTAAAACATTCTGTATGTTCTTCTCTGAGTTGACGAGAAACGCAAAAAACAGCATTCAGATTAGATCCAAGAACTAGAACATAACAACTTCAGGAAATTCGCGCAGCCAGTTTGGATTAGTCACTGAGACGTTTGGTGTTAAAGGCCAAAGTTGTTGTGTTTGAGACGACGAGCTGTGTTGGAAAAAGAAGAACCGACTGACCCTGAAGGAAATTCCCACAAAGGTGCAGCGGAAAATGCTCTGTTAGGAACTCAAGTAATCAGCCATACACACTCCTTTCATCTCAGGTTGCATTAGGGTGTAAAATTCAAAGTCGTGGTTAAGTTTAGATGAAGTTCCCATGTTTTGAATCATTCTGTCATTGTCTCCATTGTTAAAATAACAGGGGTGGAAAAAGGACACATCAACCTCTTCTTTAAAATAACAACACAGACAACAATTGTGCTTTAAAACACATCACATGCATCCTAAACAAAGAATTGGGAGATTTACAAGCAGAGCGTAGTGTTCCATCAGCTTCCTTTAAGAGGGAACACAAAGCAGGACCATTCACGAGCTGCGCCACCAGCGCGTTGACGTTGTTGTAACGTGGCTGTTCCTCTTAGAGTCTTTTGTTACCGTCGGCATCAATATGACATTCTGGAGGCCCAACAATCCTCTTAGGTGCAATGAGACCGACAAACCACACAAACAATCCCTACTGGGTTACACATGGAAAAACGTATATCGGAATACGCCTGCAATGACGACCTAGGTGCCATTGTTGCGTTAAAAAGAGAAAAGATAGGGTGTGGAGGTCTTTTTTGAGAGCACCTGTGACCATGGTGACCATTTATGAGTCTGACTTGTTGTGGTGAGTTTCTGGGTGGCTGGGTATAAATTAGAAAGCATTCCCAATACTAGCCTATGGAACAAACTATAAATTACACTGTTTCCTCTTTCCTCTCTTCCTGTCCCGCTGCTTTTTGCCTCTCTCAGTGTCTTTTCAATGTGATGGAATTTGTGCTGTAACTGTGAACCTACTTTCTACGTCAAGTCCGGTTTTGCTGTGCATTGCTCTAAGCAGGTTGCAGTGAGATGTGGTGTGTGTATGAAGGGCTTATTATGCATTAGTGGTTAGAGAACCATTAAACAACATTACTGCAGCTATAAAGATTTTTAGCCCTTCTGAAACAAATTGCTGTATAGGTGTTTCTCATGAATAAAGTTTTATCGATATAAAATCATAAAAATAAAATGTCCAAAAAGCAGAAACCAAACAATATTATAGCATCTTTAGAGGAATCATTCGCCTTAAAACTGTGTCGCTTCAAACCTGTATAGTTTTCTTTCTTCAGTGGAACACATTGTTCTGAAGGAGCATTTTGAGGAAGATTATACTGCACTTTTTAACACAATGAAAGTGAATGTAGACTGATGGCTGTCAAGATCCAAACCCCAGCAAAAAACAAATCTTAGTCCTTAGGACTTGTGCAACATTTTCCATTTCATGTGAAGTCGTTTTATGCCTTAAGCTTGACAACTCACAGTCAAAATTGTGTTAAACATCTTTTGTGTTCCACAGAAGAAACAAAGTCATATTGGTTTGCAGTGTCATTAGGGTGAGTAAATAATGACAGTGTTTTGTTTTTAGTTTTTTGAGTGAACTAATCCTTAGGAGAAAAGGAGTGGTAACAGATTGAAAATTGTTTGAACATGTTTTGAAAAAATGGGACTTCTGAAACGTGCATCAGATCTGAGGATAATAACAACAAGAACAACAAGTTCTCAAACAAGTGGGTCATTTTATGTTCTAGAACACTCAAGGTGGGAACACCAGATATGAAACACAAGCTCTGCATGCCATTAACAAGAGGGTTACGAGGGACGTCAAAACCTCTTAGTGAACATTGACAGGCATGAATCAGCTTGTCTGATTAAACACCAGACATTTTGAAGGAATAAAAATGAGGGTTGTGACTACCAGATATTGAGGGGGACATGTCGCCTCAAATATTCAGATTAGTGGTTGAGCGATACAAGATTTACATTTGGTCCCACTGTAATCTTTAACATTTTTACACTACCGTTTAAAGGGGTCATATGATGTTGCTAAAAAGAACATTATTTTGTGTATTTGGTGTAATGAAATGTATTTATGCGGTTTAAGGTTAAAAAAAACACATTATTTTCCACATACTGTACATTATTGTTTCTCCTCTCTGCCCCGCCTTTATGAAACGTGTCGATTTTTACAAAGCTCATCGGTCTGAAAAGTGAGGTGTGCACAAAGTAGTTTTGCTTTCACAATGAAACAGCGTCACACACTGCGGCCTTGAGTGAGTGTTGGCCGGCTTGAGTGAGCAGAGGCGGCAGGGTTGAGAACGGCGCGGCCGGCAGATTCGACGAAGGAGCGTCCGGCGGGTTTGCGGCAACCACATGTGACGACCCCGGGCTGGACTCCGCTTCGTCCACAGTGAAAGCCGATCCGGCGATCCACAGTGCGAAGTTTATGTATTTCCTTCAGCGACCAGCACGGATCAGCTCCATGCATGGCGAAGCGGATATCGTCCTCTTTTGGAAGGCCAAACAAAGTAGTTTCACTTTCACAACGAAACACAGTGCCTTCACGACATCGCGGCGGCGGCAACAACAATACTACAGCGAGAATAAAAGTTATGCCTTCTTTCTTTGCGTGAATATTTGGGCGGCGTTATACAAATCTTCCCACATAGTGAGGTAGACATGCTAGAATGAGCCGTTTTAGGTAGGCGTGGTTGACTCTTAACGTTTATAAAGAATATCTCTTTGGATTTGAGACTTTAGTCTTTGCAACTTTACAGATCTTCTTTATGCACCAAGAGCTTGTAACACCCCAAAGAGAAAGGAAAAATTGAAATCGCATCATATGACCCCTTTAAACATTTAAGTCAGTCAGTTTTTTTTTTTTTAGCAAGGATCAAATTAAACTGACTTATACATTGTTGCAAAAAAATATATATATTTCAAATAAATGCTGTTACTTTAACTTTCTATTAATAAAATAATCCTGAAAAAATTTATCAATGTTTCCACTGTTTTGTAACACAATATACAGTAACTGTTTTTACTGTACTTTATTAAATAAATGCAGCTTTGGTGAGCATAAAAGCTTTCTTTTAAAAAACAAAATCTTACGAACCCCAAACTTTTGAACAGTGGTTTTTGTTGATAAATCTTGATTTTATGAATAAGGTGTATGCTAACAAAGATGCGTGTATAATCATAGTTAAACATAAAAAGGCTCATAGATGTGCATTCGTTCATATAAGTAAAAGAGACAGACCACATGTCTGTAAATATAAAAACACTGCGGTCAATGAAAGAGACTAAAAAAGTTGCCCCTCAAAAATACTCCTGCACAGTAAAAGGGGGCGTTTGATGTTTCTCTGCTGAGAATCATTCAGGTGAGTGAGGGACGCATATTGAGATGTCTTCAATATCTTCAAAGCCTTGAGAAAGCTTTGTTTTCATAGAGCGGACACAAATGAGGAACTGCTGTGGGCTTAACACAAACAAAACTGCTCATGGTCCTGATAATACTCAGACCTGTTAGATCATGAAACCCTGATGAAAGTTTGAATGGAAGTTTACGCAGTGAATGTGTCTGTGTTTTGTAAAGGAAGTTCAGGTGGGACGCAGGGATTAATCATTTAGTACTAGACATAAAGGCTTTGTCATTCTATTGAAGTCTCCCCTCCCTTGTTCGCATGAGTGTGTAAGTGCATTTGCGTGTCTCACCGTTCTCCATGAACTCAGTGATGATGTAAATGGGCTCCTGTGTAACCACAGCGAAAAGTCGCACTAGTCGAGGGTGCTGCAGGGTCTTCATCAGGTTCGCCTCAGCCAGGAAAGCACTGATGGACATGGTACCTGTCTTGAGATTCTTGATAGCCACTCGACGGTTGTTGTTATACAGCCCTATAAACAGAGAGTGAATAAAGGGTTTGTGTTATTTTAAAGGGGTAGTTTACCCATAATGAAAATTCTGTCATTAAATTTCTCATGTCGTTATAAACCTGTATGACTACTCTTTTTCTGTGGAACACAAAGGAAGATATTTTGAAGAATGCTGCTAACCAAACAGTACCAAAACCCCAAAAAACCCACTGAGACAAGACTCAAAATATCTTCTTTTGTGTTCCACAGACAAAACAAAAAGTCATATTGTTTTGGAATGACATGTGGGTGAGTAAATGATGACAGAAATTAATTTTTATGGGTGAGCTATCACTTTAAGGCTGATTTTGAAATAGACAACATCTCATTCACTGAAAAATTATTTTCCTGAGGCCAAACTATTTAATTAAGGTCTGAATCTAATCTTTCTGTTGTTATAAAAGCATTGAGAAATAAGTGGCAATGTGAAAACTGTGCTATTTCCTTATCAGAATGTTTTTGTTTGAGGGTGTTTTTAAAGAATTTGATCTGTGAGAAATTCACAGTGTTTTCCTTCACCAAGTTTCTTTGGCTTCACATTGTTTGACTTCTTGATAACCGGTTGACTTTATTTCTATGGGGTTGATTCATATGATGTTATCACAAATGAAAATGACTGGTTTAATGAATGGAACAGTTCATTACATGAAACAGTTCTTTCATTTGAATGAGGAAAGTCATTCACTGCAAAAACCAAACAAAATGGCATCTATGATGCAGGCCCTTCTAGTCATGGAACTGACAAGCAGTGAGGGAAACATGCCGGTTGCTATAACAACCAGGGACAGGAAGTGGTTAAAACTAAAGCCTTGCCCATAATGAAAATTCTGTCATTCAATTTCTCATGTCGTTATAAACCTGTATGACTACTCTTTTTCTGTGGAGCACAAAGGAAGATATTTTGAAGAATGCTGCTAACCAAACAGTACCAAAACCCCAAAAAACCCACTGAGACAAGACTCAAAATATCTTCTTTTGTGTTCCACAGACAAAACAAAAAGTCATATTGTTTTGGAATGACATGTGGGTGAGTAAATGATGACAGAAATTAATTTTTATGGGTGAGCTATCACTTTAAGGCTGATTTTGAAATAGACAACATCTCATTCACTGAAAAATTATTTTCCTGAGGCCAAACTATTTAATTAAGGTCTGAATCTAATCTTTCTGTTGTTATAAAAGCATTGAGAAATAAGTGGCAATGTGAAAACTGTGCTATTTCCTTATCAGAATGTTTTTGTTTGAGGGTGTTTTTAAAGAATTTGATCTGTGAGAAATTCACAGTGTTTTCCTTCACCAAGTTTCTTTGGCTTCACATTGTTTGACTTCTTGATAACCGGTTGACTTTATTTCTATGGGGTTGATTCATATGATGTTATCACAAATGAAAATGACTGGTTTAATGAATGGAACAGTTCATTACATGAAACAGTTCTTTCATTTGAATGAGGAAAGTCATTCACTGCAAAAACCAAACAAAATGGCATCTATGATGCAGGCCCTTCTAGTCATGGAACTGACAAGCAGTGAGGGAAACATGCCGGTTGCTATAACAACCAGGGACAGGAAGTGGTTAAAACTAAAGCCTTGATGTGACTTCTATGGTACTATTTTAGGGTCAAGACAAGACGAGCATAATTCCTCTGCTGTAGTTTGTTTATGTTTGAAAACTGGTCACATTTAAAACAGAAAAATCTTCTCAACATACAAACATAAAACATGAGTTTAGGCCATGATGTTACTGTAATCCTAAAAACTGGGGCATCCTGTTGGTATCTAAACAAAAATATGTTGCTTAATTCATATACTTAATATTTTATATCAGTGGTTCTTAGAACACAGGATGGGACTATCTAAAATGCTGATTCTGCTAATTTACAACTCTTGGACCATCTTCAATGCTAAACATTAGTCAAACATTCCAACAAGCTTACTGTATGTAAAGTTCTGATATGCCAGGTGGTCGCGGAGACACACTCATAACACATAAGCCTGTAGATGCATGTTTATCTTTACCCATTCATGATGGTCCAATGCACAATGTTTGCTCACATTTGCAAACGTTTCCAGACAAGCACAGGCAGACCTGGATGCTGAACTGCATTTGTTGTTTATTCTTATACTGGGATTCCAAGTAATGTGCCATGAAAACATTTGCAAATGTGCTTTATATTTATTCATCTAAAGAACTTTGTTGCTCAGTCTTTTACCCTGAATCTCAACTTTAAGGAATAGACTCAACTCAAGTTAGGAAGTAAAACACTTCTTACCCATCCATACCTCACCAAACTGCCCCTGCCCCAGTCTGCGCTCCAGTTTGAGAGACTCACGGGGCACTTCCCATTCATCCTGCCACCAGGGCTTCTGAGGGGCTCGGGTTTGACACGGCTTCACCAGGCGAGTGCATAGTCCATCGGCCTCTCCTGCACACAGGAAGATAATCAAATGTCACTTTTCAACCACACATTTGAGCTCTTACAAACAGAGTCACTGAACTGTTCTTATGCCTTTTATGAATAACCTGACCGATCTGTGTAAGGCACATATGAACACTTGAACATACGTGAATAATGTTTGACCAGCTCTGAGAGGGAGCTGAAGGAGATCTTGGTGGTGATGTAGAATCCACCTGCGTCCAGGTTGCGGATTCTGTAGTGCTTGATGATGTCACCCTGTGTGTGGTCCAGGTCTCTCACGGACAGGGAGAAACTCCCTAAGGCACCAGAACAACAGGAAAATCCAGAGTCAGAGGCTGCCAATTGCACATACAGTCATACATCCACCTTTATAACAGTGAGAATTTCTAGATTGGAGTTTAGAGTCATTTGACAGTTAATGACATGAAGAAAATGTTCTTTAATTCATCCTTTCCTGTAACTTATTTGAAATGTATTTTAATATTTTTTAATATTTAACAGTATTTTAAAAATGATTATGTATTTTTTTTATTTTATAATTATATATATATTATTCGTTTATTTTTTCTCACTTTTCATAGTCAAACTGTCAAACTTAAAAAAAAAAAAAAAATCAAACAATTCTGAGCCAGTATTGTAATGTGATAGCACTGTCTGATGTGCCCTTATGGTTCTGTGTTTGTTTTTGTTGTTGTGTGGGGAGAAATGCATTGTTTTATACCTGGTGTGGTCTCACTCTCTCTAATGAGGAAGGAGCCCTGTGTATTACCGGGGGCCAGTAATAGCCTCATGGCGTCGTTCCTGGAAAGGTTTTTAAAGAACCACCTGCAACACAACAAAATCATCATTTTCTTAGGGGTTTGACTCATTAATTATCTCATTTTGGGGTTTCAATTGTTTAAAAGATACAGGGTTGGGATGTTTCATTACTCCCACGTTCAGATCCTCCCACAATCAAAAGTCTTAAACCTGAACATATACGCAGATATGTGGCGTCAGCAGGTTCTGGGGTAGTGATGCTCAGAAACTTGTGTGATTTGTGGGAGTATTTTTTTTTCTATTCTTTCCATTACTGACACCCCATAATCATCTGTCGTAAGCAGCAAGGGGTATCCTAAATGAATCAACCTTTCAGCCACAGGTTTGGGGTGGTATTTCCCAGATCTCATTGTGGGGAAGCTGATTTGATCTTCTTTGTTCAGAAACCCACAGCAGCTGATCTGCATAAATACTTTTCTGTCATGACAACTCTGTATGACAATGTTAATATGTTTGATCTTGGCGGAATAGATCTGCTACGCGGCTGCTGTTGCTGTGGCAGATCAAATACAGAGACTTGCTATATTGCCAATTCATCCACAACATTCTGCTGTGAGCATGTAAGAAATACTGCTGCTGCACATACAACATATATGAAATAACCCCCATATAGCATACATGAATCACCCCGTAGCAGATCTATACAGGTGGAGCTGGGGAAGGTGGAGGGTTTCCAGCAACTCATTGGCTGCTGATACAAAAAGAACCAATCAGCTGTGCCATGTGATAATGATGTCCTTATGTCAGATTGAGTTTGACCTATCGGACTGCACCATCTAGAGTTTCATACCAGAACTTTGGATTTAATTGTGCTTGTGTGGATTTGTTTGGATATATATGAGTGTATGCACTCTGTATGCAATTGATCATTGCGTTACTTACGGTTCTGTCTCCATGCTGTTCAGTTTTCCTACAAAATTCTGTGGTATGTATCCCCTCTGCCCGGTAAACAGAGACTCCGCCATGAACCATTCAGGATCATCGCTAAAACACACATAGACACATACATTATAGTTTAAACTATGACAGTGTCTCCTCTTAAAACTGCACAAAAAACTGAAACGGAGAAACCTTGAATTAACATTCAGTTCAATTCAGCTTCTCAAAACCCAACTTGAGTCGGTGAGGGTCAGTGGTCAACCATGTTTTGATGATCTACTGAGATTGTCAGACTGTTTGAATGTAGGCTTTGCTTACGCATTTAGGATTTTTAGCTTCTCCCCTTTTTCAAACCCAAGGTCATCGCTGTGGCACGGCTCATATTTGTATAAGGCTACCACCAGGTTCTCTGGAATACACAGATGACAACAGTGAACAGTCTGAAACACCCATTAAGAGCATATCTGTAGGACGTTTTGAATGTGTCTTCTCACCTGGAAGAGGAGATGATGGTGGAGGTGTGTACTGGGATGAATAAGGAATCAGAGGATCATAGTTCTGTGTGAGAGAGGATAGAAAACAATGTCAAAATCCAGTATGAATGAAAAATATTCATTAATAAAAAATATGGTTACAGCTATAAAACAGTGACTGTAATTCTGCTTACGTTTATAATCAGAACAGTTATGGCAATTATTATTAAAATTCTAAAAACACACAAATATTAAATAAGCTATTAAAAATGTCTGAAGGAAAGTGGTTTTAATTATTTGACTATGATTAGCAATTTCCATGATAAGCGCTTCATGACATCAAAACCTTTATTCTGTGTCAATAATTTATGAATGTCATAAACCACACAAAGCCACTTCCCTAAGCAGGGTGGAGCTGTTCTTATTTTCTTCTTTCACAGCCTATATTATGAAACGACTACCACAGTAAAAGCAAACATTCCATCATTCTCATTATGTCATAAACAACATGTGCCGTTCTCTTTCATTTCTAATCTACTTAAATGAAAACAAATCACAAGGAAATGTGTCTCAAATTTAGCTAGATGTTTTAGTCCCCAATTGATTACCAGCACAGGCTCATTTCCCTCAAATTATGTAACTCTTAGTGGGTTGACCTGTCTGAAGAATGAGTCACATCAATGCAACTGGACCATGAACAGATAAAATTAGTATGATTACTTAAGTATTTGTATAAGTATTTGTGCTGAATTCAATTAGAATATTACATACAAAAAATAATTTTCCACATGATTAAACTAAACTAAATACAATTTCAGATTAAGAGATCACCTGAAAACATTTATGTATTGCATTTTTTTTGGGCAAGAAATTGCACATCTGACACAAATCATGTGATTATAGCATATTAGCGTGTAAAAGATCTAAACACACTCTATGTGTTAAGAGAGATAATACACTAGTTGATTTAAAAAATAGGCCTAACACAAAAAGACACATCGATTGAGTAAGATAATACAACAGGTTGTGTTATTTTCAACACATCAGTTTTAAGAGTGTGGGGTCAGTGGTCAACCATCTTTAGAAGATATACTGAGATTGTCAGTCTTGCTTAGCATTAAGGATTTTCACCTGAAAACACAAATATTCCATTTCAGTTTCAGCAAGGCAGATCATTATTTAAAAAAAAGAATGCTTTGTGTAGCACTTTGTGAGACTTTGTTGTGTTTTGTCTTGCGTTATAAACCACAGAGATTTTTAATGCATCTCTTTAGTGTAGAGAATGGCTCTACCACTTCCTTTCTCTCTCTTCTCTCCACATATTTTGTGACTTCTCTGTTACTGTCTCACATTACAACCTGCCTTTTTTCAACTGTCTCAAAATTCTGAAATCGTATGATATATCAAAAAATTTAAAAAAAATCACTGTTACTTTTCTAATGTAGAAATAGGCTACAATTTTCTACTCATTATGTGAATTATTCAATGACTTCTCATGGGGGTTTCTACTGGATTTTTTGTTGGGCAAAATATCTTAGTTAGTTCTTCAACCTAAATCTCTTGTAACCACTCTAGCACAGCTAGCTAACTGTTTGGGAATCTTAAATATGTTTTATATATATTTAAAATTGAAAAAAAGGAAAGCATTTACTTCACTATGCTTTATCGCCATACCTTCCGATACTTAGCCTATTTCTATTCGCTTTGATTCGGATACTAAACGCTCGAGCAGCCTACATGGTTGCTATGGATACTTGCCTGATAAAGCAATTTCTTTTCACAAGCGTCTGTAGTGTTTAGCTCACCATAACGTATCTAACTTTGTGGTTACTGATTTTATGCTGTGATATACTTGAATGTAGAAGGTAAAAAAGAAGTGTTAAGTGTAGCTAACATTCTCTTCAGCAGACGCATACAATACATAAACACAGACATACCTGACTGGCTGGAGGCTTTGGGCAGTTACATTGATCGCACAATTCATCTGGATGGTAGGAGAATTCGTCATCAGGATCAAAAGAGCCACAGTTCCCCATATTTGCTAAACATGAGAGAAATACAGTGACATAATTATTAGAACTACAGTGACAACTGTAAGCATCTCCAAGTATATATTCATCAGTTCATCAATAAGTGCAAGCAATCTAGCTCCTGGAGAATAAAAAAGTTTGAAGCAGTGGCTAAATAAACCAATGAATTCATTTACATTTACAATAAATATGTTTTAACGTTATGGCGTGTATATATTTGTGACTATTTGACATGTATTCTCTTTGAGTTTTATGACTGTAGTAGTTGAACTGAATATTTTGTGTAAGACTGCTCACACTGGATTAATTATTTCCTGATATATCAGAGAAAAAGAGCCACAAACATTAATTTTATATTTAGGCCTAACATTCAATAGGCCTATGTGTCCATAGGGTTGGACAAACAGTTCTGTCTGTTTAAAAAAACAAAAAAAAAACAGTTCTGGACCAGATCTGTAAAGGAGGTTAATCCTCTTTATGAATTCTATACACACTCTTTCCAACTCAAACACTGAGTTTCAGACAGTTTTTTGAATAAACGAAGGGATTTGGATTACAGTGATCCGTATGCGTGTGTGTGTGTGTGTTTTTTACATTTGTCTTGAGCATGGTGTGTTTTGCGTTATGAATCTGGAAAGTTCATGAAAAAATCCCTGTGCATAAGTGTTTGTATGGAAGGATGAACTGTACTTTTGTAAAAATGTAAATATGTAAACACAAAAGCCCAGAAGCATTTTCATTTCCATTAAGCAGATAAATAATGGGCTAACTCAATCTGTATGTCTCTGTGCTCATGGGACAGTTTGGGAGAACAGCCCAAATCAAAGCAGGAGACAAGACTTTCCACTGACCTGCGGCCTGTACCTGACCCTACCAGTATCAGTGCAAATGAGTCTCGAGAGATGCACGCCGAGGTCAAATGTTTTGGGTTAAGATTGCTTTCTGAAGTACGAAGCATAGTTAATGTTTTTGTGACACAGGTGTTCCTTTCCTTTTCACTATATGGACAAAAAACACTAAGACACATTTTTCTAAATATCTTTTGTGTTATACAGGTTTGGAATGAAATGAGGTTGAGTAAATGATGACAGATGGCTTTGTGCTCATTCAGGCCTCCAGTTTCTCCTGTTACAGAGGATGTGTTTGTATAGGTTTGAAATTAAGCCAAACAGATCAAATGCCTCCCGACACAATCACAAGTTTTTTTATATATATCATTAAATCAACATTATGTTTGAGAGCAAACAGAAGTCAAAAGGTTGAGACATGAGGGAAAAACTTGACTAATTCATACCAAACAGTCAAATCTATGCCAAAAAATACAAATTTAGATTTTATTGTCCGTAGGCCTATTATATACCGAGCTGTTGTGTTTTACGTTATCTTATAACACCAGTTTAGAATGTTTAGAAAAATTTATATTTATGACTGATACCTTCCCAAATAAATAAATAAAGATCTTAACACATACATCATGATAGTTTGATTTGGAATTTGGAATAAACAGATTGATTGATAAACAGAAAGAATGATTGTTAAAAAAATGAAAGTGGCAGCCTAGCTAGCAAGAAGGCAGTATTTAGTAAGAACGCAGGGTTTTTCCGACCTAATATTTATGAAATTCCCCTTTTTTTTTTTTTTTAATTAACCTGTGTTAATTTTTGAGGACTTTTCTATAACTGGAGATGAAAAATGTTACTGATTTAATATTCAAATACAGTGGCGAAACGCAATCCAAAAAACTCCCTTAGTGACTGAATCACAATTTCAATTTAAAATCATGAAATTGTTATTGACTGACCTTGAGGTGTAATACGATACAACACATGCAGTGATGATATACATGATATTATCATATTTCCTTTGTGAATTACTTTGCAAGTTACATTAAAATATAATTAATGTTTAACGCTAGAGCCAAAAGTGTAATAACGTTCTAGAAATTTTGATTTAAACAGTGCATACATTTATATATATGATTTTAAACCAAACACACTCTCACTTCTGCTTTACTACGTCAGAATTGAAAGATGTTATGCCTGTATTATAAATGTACATAATTCGCTGATTCATTTTTTAAGTAAATGAAAGCCTTAATTTGTTTTTCTATTTAGCAAATATTCTCAGCTCAGTTTGAAGCTCTTTTTGATATCTTTTCTTTTCTTTTTTTTTTTTAAATAATTGGTTGATAATAATTTTTGAAATAGTTTCCTCTGCTCCATCTCAGACGGTCTCAGGCTTTAGTTTTCGCTCGTAATATTTCATCCAATAAATCACTTAGTGATTTTAAAAACACTGTCTGAGAATACTTTTACCGGCCTGATAACCTGTACTCATTAAAACTAATCTTGGCCTTGTTTTAAATCTAAACAAAATAGATCCCAGTTGGTAAAACTTACCTTTTCTGTTGACAGAAGTTGCTGATGTTAGTGATGGGTCAGTTCAGCAAGCATTGTCATGTCTTTAGCTTTAGATTTTATGAAGAACACATTTTGCCACAGAGCAACAAAACCAAGATTACAGACAAACTGACAAGATCTGTAAAGCTTCGGCGTGTATCGAAGACATGAGCTGCTAAAGTGTGTAAGGCTGTGTAAGTCACGTCACAGTCTGACTTCCCACCTTAACAAAGGCACATCATTTGCAAAGGCATCATTCACACACGCACACACACCACAGTGGTGCAGAGCAAGCTGATGACAGAGCTTCCTGTCGTTGAGGTGTTTGAGCTGATATTTAACATTTTTCAGCAGGTGCACACTGCTCTGAGCAGCTGGTGTCATTGGAGTGAAGGATTCTGGGTCAGGACTCCACTTGTCACCTGCTTTTGTGGTGCCATGATGTCAAAGAGAGGAAACTTTAACGGCATTCATGGGTTTTTGGCTTGTATTTGTACTAAAAAGAGCCACGAAACTTTACATTTAAATGTTCAAGCATAAAAGTGTTACACACATTGTTATTCCATGAGGTATTTGTGAACATTTAGGCCTCTAGTTTACATTAAACCGAATGTTAATGCTCTGTTAGAAAGTAGGCCTCTCTAGCAGAACTGTTTAACTAATATATACGTGTGGATATGCGTGTGCACGCCAGAAAATAAAACTAATATGCAACAAATATTTTTTGAGGTAAATTTGACATTTTTTAACTAGCTACTTGGATATGATGCTCATCTGTTTCTTAAACCCTTTCTGTCTCTCTCTGTTTCTCATTCTCTCTGAGCAGACCGCACACTTTTGTTGTGGCATCAGTCTGCAAATAGTGCATGCTCTTGCAGGAAGTCACAGCCCAAACATTCAAAGGAAATGAGGTACATTCTTAAGTTTTCTACTGCAGAAACACTCATCTTAATTTAGACACTTATGCCTAAGCCTGCTGTGGCATTTGTATTTATTTTGGTTTGTGTCGTCCTACGTGACTGAAACTTCTGACCGGGCTTTTCATGTGGTGAGTCCGGTGATCACAGCAGAAATGGGTGTTTCATTGTGGTTTGGAGGTGGGGGAAGGGGGTTAAATGGTTAAAACAAATAATTCTATTACTCAATCAGATCCCCTCGCATGATGGACCACATCAGGGTGATTTTTGCTAAAGTCGTATCCTGGCTGGATTTCTAGTTTTGTTTGTAGCTGTAAGTTTGAGGGAGTGCCTGAAACAATGGCTTGTTTTTTTCCATTCCTTGGGGGTCTTGTGGTTGAGAGGAGGGGGGTTTGAGGGAGAGGGGATGTTGAGTGGGGCAGATCATCTTAACAGACAGTTATATATTCACAGTTACATCTCTTGTGAGAGCAAATGTTCATTTAATGCTCTGAGATTGTGAATCCATGCCAAAAAAAATTTTTTTAACTGGGGTATTGGGTGCTAGTAGAGCCTTGGAAAATTTAACAGATTAAATATATTTAATGTGTTTTAACTGCAACAACAAATATGCATATCGTTTTGTGATAGATGTGTCGGAACAATGTTAATCAATTTATTCATTTTAATATTGGGTTGAAAAATATGTTATTGTTATATGTTAAGAAAATATATTTAAAATAAGCTAATATTTTTCAGATAATATTTCAATAATTTTTCAATTGGCTTTATGTTTTAGAAAAAGGGTTCATTACAAAGGGATCATCATATTTGTGAGTCCTTGGTCTTAAAACTAGTGAAAGCCGTTTATATGGCAGGATTGTTGAGCTTTATATCAACCAAATTATTTCCAGGAAAATAGCGTAGATGTTTTTTCATCCATTTTTTGAGATTTCATGACATTTTAAATTCATGTCAAATAAATTGATGAATAATTTAATGTTCAGTGAAAACACTGAATGAACAAAACATCTTTTTCCTTTATCACATTTGCACTCGAGTTCAAAGTAGGTTATTATGATGGTTTCATTTAAGCTCTACAAAGCAGAATGACACTTTCATGGCACAGTGTTTGTTTTCTTTTCTAGGCCTCGAGGGAATCTGTATCTGGAACACAACTAAACACCTTTTGTGTCTTCTCAGGTGACCTAAATAGTTCGTTTCTGTTTGAAGAAGGAATCTAAAGCAGCCCTCGTGAACTGTTCATTGAAGGTACTTGCCCAAATGCCACTGGGTTTACGAGATGTAAACTACAAAAGCTTGTAATATCAGTGTTGAGAACAGCTTTAGGAAAGATGGCTTTCCTTGTCAATGTCTCTCACTCTTTCTCTCTCCCTCCATATATTTATCTAGCATGAGATCATTTCTTGGCATGTGTCACATGCTCCTTTTGTCAGTCAGTGCCGTCACTGCAGTTACAATCAATAAAGCAATTGGTCCATTGTTTGACTCATCTACTGGTAAATGCAGCCTATTCTGATAAATATCAACTATTTTTTCATTCGTGTGATAACACTGCATAAAAAAACCCTCTGGGTTTATTCATGTCAGGATGTGCAAGACGGAAGAATCTGAGCAAAGCGAGATAAGAGCTGCTCAAAACAGTTTGGATAATTACACAAATACATAAATCAACACAATACTGTGAAGAAATTTTGATTGACAGGAAAATAATACTAATACTTGTATTTACAAATATAAAAATGTAAAATTTAATATAACATTTATTTACAAATTTAAAGCAACAATGTTCAAAAGATTCATAATTTTTTATTATAAGTGAATGAGTTACAGTGAATGAGCAATGTTTTTTCTCCTTTCTTAATTACAATATCAATCACAATATATCTCCAAAATAACTTTAAGGCATTTTATTAAATTAAGGCAAATTTAAGGCATTTTTTAGTCCTGTGCGAATAAAGTCAGTCGTTGTGTTCGATTTGAGCAAAAGGAAGTTTTATACCCTTAACAGTGCACTTAAACATTTGTACATCAAACATTTTATGAATTAAAAAAACATTATATATACACTACCGTTAAAAAGTTTGGGTTCTGTAAAATTGCTTGTGATGTTTTTGAAAGAAGTCTTATATGATCACAAAGCCTGCATTTACTTGCATGTAAAAATACAGCTGTATAAAACTGTAATATTGTGAAATATTACTACAATTTAAAAGTTCTTTTTATTTTATTTATAAGTCTATTTTATTATATTTTAAAATGTAATTTATTCCTGTGAAGGCAAAACTGAATTTTCAGCCATTACTCCAGTATTTAATGTCTCATGATCCTTCATTTTTGTAATGTAAAAATCTTTTAATGCATCCTTGCTGAACATTTCATATATATAAAATCTATTAAAAATTGGTAACACTCATTTAGTCCCAAGTTGAAATTTGTCAAATTGTAAAGGTCCTTTTTGATATGTTGTAATTTTATCATGGAGCTTTTGATATAAGCACTTACAGTATCCATGCACAAATGCAGTGCTAAATTTCCAGTGCTTGTAATAAAGTAAACTAAACTTGAATGGATTCTGTAGACATACAAAGGAGGCAATAAAAACTCATAAAAATCTTTTGACCTGTGAATAAAAATTTCCCAAGCACAAGATTCTCAAAAACGTACCCTCAACTTATTTAAGACCAACCACCAACAGTGGGCTGAACAGAACAGAGACTGAGATTAGCTTTTCAGTTGTTGTAGCTCTGAGCTGTAGAGTGGGGGTTATTTTAAGGTTTTAAGAGACAAGGTGACAAAATGCCTGAACATAAACTCACACTTCCTGTGAGGCTGCTGCTTGGGATCACAGCCAAACCGACGGGAGAGTGTTTCCTCCTCTGAGCATTCAGGAACACTCATGGGAGTGTTTGCCAATCACACGCCTTTTGACACAGAAGCAGGTTCCTCCTGATTCTCAGATCAGTTAAGCTATTTTCAAAAGTAAATATAAACTTTTTTTCAACTGTGCATGGGGACTTTCTCAGACCTGAGGTGAGTCCGCATTCACAAGTGGTTTAATAGTTGTATACTATAGACTGTAGTGCTGGTTACTGCATTTTCAGATATGACCACCTGTGGTCAAATCAAAGTTCACTAAAGCTTAGTGATTTGAAGAAAACTTAGTGGGTTTTTTTTTTTTCAATAGTCCAATTTTAACACTGAAATGAAATAAATCTTTGGCTTCCAGTGTCAGTAAGAGCTGTGCATTGAGTTTTCTTGAGGGACATCTCTCCTCGCCGTGCCTCTCAACAGAGTGAGAATCGTCTGGAGTTGAGGTTCATCTTGGTGAGACCAAGATGTTTGAGAGGGGTGGAAAGAGTGAAGGCAGCTTTCATGGGGATGTCACACAGCAGGTCTGAGTCCTCCTCACACTCCTCCAGCTCATACGTGGCATCATCCAGCATCTCTTTGTGACGGTGACACACCTGCTCCACCTTCAACCTGTGGATCTCCCCCCGTAAGCGAATCAACTGCCGTGCGAGACGGTTATCCTGCATCTGCATCTCCCTCTGAGGAGCGATGAGAAAGAGAGCGGGAGAACCATTTTATAGCTCACACATCAAGTTTTTGATAACCAGCAGTAATTATAAGATTAAATTGTTTGGAACAGAAGTCACACATGCAGGGAACTGAGCACACCTTTCTGTCAAACACCCACTCAAGTTTCTGCACCTGTGTGGCATTTAGGTGCAATATGCCAAGAGACGAGAGTCATGCCACCTGTGTTGTACTATGTATTAGTATTTATAGTAGGCTATATACAGTATATTATTTAAATATATTTTATATCATTTAATAAAGATATACTGTTCAAAATTTGGGTTGGATAAGATTTTTTAAATGTTTTTGAAAGAAGTCTCTTATGCTCACTAGTGTTTCATTTATTTTACCAAAAATATCAAAAACAATATTTAAATTTAAAATAACTGTTTTCTATTTGATATATTTTAAAATGTAATTTATTCCTGTAGTGACAAAGATGCATTTTCAGTAGCGATTTCTCCAGTCTTCAGTTTCATATTGTCTTAATATTTTTGTGGAAACCGTGATACATTTTTCAGGATTCTCTGATGAATAGAGAGTTCAAAAGAACAGCATTTACTTGAAATAGAAATTATTTATAAGACA